TAAATGAATGAAAAGTGCAATAATAATGCTAAATTCATAATTGATATGCAGAAAAAGACAAGCAAAGGGTGTTTGCTACAATGTCAGTTGAGTCAAAGAGTGAAGCACATTATGGAAAAGTTAAATATATTACAGGATTGATATGTCCCAGTAATGAGGAATAATTTTATTAATCTCTCCATTAGAGTAAGCAGAAAGTTCAATCATATATTCTATATCAATTATTTTAGGATTTTGTAGAAAATGTGATTCTCTCCATGCTTATTTTATTTATGAGTTTAATTTTCAAAGTCATCTAGGAGTAAAAGTAAAGAGAAAAAACATCTGTCATTTTATCTGTTAATGGAAAATGGTTAATAAAAGTTTATTCTTATGTACTTTGAACTCAAACCACTGTAGCATGAGACTATAAATTCACTATAATTCATGTATAAAGCAAAAAAATAGTGTCTGGTCTCTGAAAGAAGATTGGCATGACTCATTTGTTAACCTTGAGGAGCCATGGTAAAGATGTCCTTATCAGTTACACAGATGAATTTCAATTATCCATATGAGGCATGTAACTGTCGATGAAATAACTTTATAGTTAGACATGGACAGTTATTTTAATGCCAGGACAAAAGAGAATTAGGACAAGGATCCCTATGGTTTGAATATAGATACCATCCCGTAAAGTTTTATAGATTAAAACTTTTTTATCCAGAGTAGTGCTTTCAGGATATGTTGGGAGCATTTAGGAAGTAGTACCAAGAGAGAGAAGTTTAGGTCATGAGAGACATGCCCCAGAAGGCAAGTAAGTATAGGACCCTACTCTCTTTCTCTTCTAGTCTCTCTTCTTTTGTCTGGCTTATAAACTGTGAGTTTCAGCTTTACCCACTAGTCTAGCAATGATGTGTCGTCATTGCCAGAGCCTCAAACTAGTAATGATCTTGAACTGAAACGTCCAGAACTGTGAGCCCAGCCTTTTCTCTTTTCTTTGGTTAATTGCCTCAGATATTCTATTATAACGATGGAAATCTGACCTGCCCTGAAAAATCAGTGTCAAGAGGAAGGGCTATTGTTGGAATTTTATCTACTCATGTGGAGAAGCCATTATAGTTGTTTCATAGAAAATGTTTTCAAGAGTTTGAAGGAGCAGGCTAGAAAATCCATAGAATGCTGTAAATAGGAATTAATAGGTGATTCTGGTAAAGGCTCAAAAAAATAGAATGTTGATAGAAATATGAACAGTAAAGGTCATATTAATGAGGTTTCAAATGGAAGTGAATATGATTTAAAAATTGGAATGGGATTAGAAGTCATCCTTGTTATAACCTGGAAAAGATATGATGTATTTTGTCTATGCCCTGATTGTCAGAGGCCTAGTTTAAAAGTCACAAAGTAGTTCTATCTACCTGAGAGAATTTTCAGATAGTAAAACATCAAGGCTGTGACATAACATTAATTATTGTTTGTAGCCAAATTTACAGTGAGAATAAGGAGCACAGGTAAACAGACTGGTAATATTTTTCCCCTTTGCCAGATAAAGGACTACTTGTAAAGGTGCTGCCAAGGACAGTGTGATTGCCAACAGGTTTAGCTCCAGAGAAACAGAACTTTCAGAGAGAGAGAGAGCGAGAGAGAGAGGAGGTAAATTAATTTCTCACATAAGTTCATGTAATCATAGAGGTTAATATGGCCTACAGTGGACTATCTATATGTGAAAAAAAAATGGCAGCCTCTTAAAATGAAAATTAAATGGCCTCAGAACTCGAGGGAGATTAATATGCACAATCCCAGTGTTCAGCCCAATCCCCCCAGGTAAAAAATGCCGCTGAAGTGTTCAAATTATAAAGACTCTGAAGTCTGATATTGACAGGCAACTGGAGCAGATAAACTCATTGACTTGGGAATGGACATCAGTAATGAGAAAGCAAGGTGTCTCCCTTTTGCTTTTTCTGTTATATGCATATACGCATATTGTGTGGCCTATCCCAATTAGTTCACATACCCAAATACCACACAGTTCTTTGGGCATATCCTCACAGACACAATGAGAAACCTGCTTTACCAATTCTCTAGACATTTCTCAATCCATGCAACGTGATACCCAAACTAACCATTGCAGAAACATTCATTACAATAGACAAATAATTTAATCGTTACACTTAACAAGTTCATGATGCTGTGAACTTGAGGAGACAAAAGCATAGAATCTACAGATTACATAAAACAAATGATCAAAACCTAAAATATGGGCCTATCCAGTAGAGCAGGAGACTTCTGAAATGACTGAGTTATTAACTAGGAAGCTACCTCTGTGACGTAGATGAAATGATAAAGAGGAGAACAACTTCCAATTGTTTCAAAATGCTTAAAAGCAACTCATTTCCCTATTTTCTCATCTTTCTCTGTATAATTTACAAATAATTACTGCATCAATTTTTTAATAAAGATATGTATTCAGAATATTTATCTAGCTAATTTGTTCATCTCTATGCCATTAAACTTGATGGTACCAATACACAGAAAGAATAAAATTAGTTTTCTTTCTATTGCATTTGATGAAAGGGACACCATAAACTAAACACAGTGAAGAAAAGAAAACCTAAATGTTTTTTTCCTCTTCCTTCTTTTTCATTCGGTCCCATGTGCTAATTTACTTATTTTCTTAATCACTAACCCATACTTTTTTTGCAAGGTTCAATCTTACTTTCTTCAAATTAATTACCACATTTTCATATATTCTAAACAAATTCTGTGTATTTTTCAAAAGCATACCATTCCTTTTTGAACTTCCTTGATTTTTTTCCGGGGAATATATCTTTACCTTCTACGAGTCATTTAGTGTACAGACATTCCTTGTTGAGTTTTTGGACTTAAAAATGAGGTAAGCTATTTGGACTTATGATCCATAGCTCAGATTTATGACCCATCACTTTTTTTTCACAGTTCTATATATCTTGTTTATAAAGCCTCAATGCCTTTATTTTGTATGCTACCATTTTGTTTACACAGTCCTGTAATTAATTTTTGCTGATTAAACTGTACAGTAGAGTATGTAGTTTTATGTTGAATATATCACAGTATTGCATATAAGAGCTATGCAAATGAAAACAATGTCATGAAGTTGGAGTTTGCTTTAACCATTTATTTGTTCTGAATATTGTAATTTATATACTATATGCAATTTCTCATTTAGTCACAAATTCAGTTAATAACCTAGTTGCAGGAATGGAACTGGTAGTTTAATGAGTAATATTTGTTCTGTTTAAAGTTCTCTAGGAGAACAGAATCAATAGCTGAAATTCTCAGTATCTGTTCAAAGACAATGGAAGCCACAGAACCATAGGGATCAATGAAATAGTAACAGTCTATGACTCAGGGTCTGAAAGCTCCTGGGGCAGCTGCCATCTGTGACTATTTGTAGGATATAGAAACCAGTATGATATTCACAGGTGATAGCAGTCAAGAATGGAGCTCTTCAAAACAAATGTGAACTTCTTCCTTTTCTCCCTTTATTCTAACCTTATCAGAAGGTGTTATCCACAACTGCAATGAGTCCTCCCTTGCTGGACTACATTTCAGTTATCTCTGCAAATGCCTCACAGACAGACACAGAACTGTGTTTTACTAATCTGCCAGACATTTCTTAATCCCATCAGGTAGACAGAGCATGATTAAAGGTCATTTTAGGAAGGAAAAGGCTACCAAGACAATAAAAGTGTCATTAGTCCAACCCTGCAGATTCTTGACAAGAAGCCTCAAAAAGTAGTGTGTAATGATCCAATAGTTGACTTCACAGGTTCAAAAATTCAAACTTTCATTTTGTCAGGCTTAATTGGAAATAATCATACCATCTCATAAAAGAGTTCATAGAAATGTACTTAAAAATGAGTGCTAGTTATCTGATAATTTAGTGTTTGAAATATGGTTGCTGAGAACAAATAATTGTGTATGTTTGTACATGGTCCCCTGTAAGCCACAGCCTGGCAAGACAGATAATCTGAGGGATGCCTGGTGCACCTGTGTCCAAAGTAAAGCAAGTTGTACTATACTAATAGCCCATATTAGCAATTTTAAAGTCTTTCACCTTCATTACAACAGGAAAAATTTGGATAAGGTACACTAAGGAATGGGGTGGAGAGATGGAGGGAACCGGGAAGGAGGGAAGAGTTGAGGGATGCAAAAAGGAATTTGGATGTATTATGTACATGGACCAAATCCATACAAGGAATGTAAACATTATGTGCTACACACATGTACTAACTAGATTAAAAATAATTATTAAAATTAACAAACTATCATAAATTAATATTTTGAAAATATTTTTGGATGGTCAAGGTGTGGAGAATTAAACACTGCTGGTATACACATCTTGAAGACAAGTCAATAACAATGGAATGAAATATTTCATTTTGCATACCCTCTTGAAAGCAATTTTGCTTTTCTTTAAGCATCAAACACCACAAGTATACAAAAAATATTTAAATAATAATGATTATTCTTTTTTCGAAAATAAATGACACATTTATTTCATAATTTCAAGACAAAAATGAGGCTAAAAGAAACAGAAGCAAACTGAATTTGTAAGTTTGGTACAGTTTTATAGTTCACAAAACAGTTTTGATTTCAAGTTTTCTTGAGGCACTTTTCCTTAGTTTCCCTTTCTCACAAGAGATACATTCCTAGGCACCCTTCTGTTTTGTTTCTGTTTTAGTCCTGGGGATCAAATTCAGGACCTCGTGCTTGCGAGTCTGGCAGCCGCACCACTGAGCTAAATCCCAGGCCCCCGTCCAGGCGCCCTTCTGGATTCCTGAAACCAGGTAGTCTTGAGCAGTACATATACTGTTTTTCATATGTATATTATGTATATATAATATATCACATATTTATGATAAAGTTTAATTTGTAAATTTGGCGCAGTAAGAGATTAACATTCAATAATAATAAAATTGGACAATTAGAACAATACACTGTAGCACAGGTTATGCAAAGTGGTCTCAAAATAATGCACTTACCGCTGTTGTGCGGTGATATGAGATGATACAATGCCTACGCGATGAGATGAATTAAAATAAGTGACACAGGCATTATGACTTAGGGTTAGGCTACTCCACAAGGCCTACTTTGTGACCCATGACCGCCTTGAACAGAACTAGGCAACCTTCTCCTGCCCCGCCCTGCGGGCTTCCCGCTTGTGAGCTTCTCTCCCTGAGCTTCCCGCCCTGTCAGCCTTCCGCGCAGGCGCAGACAAGCTGCTCCCGGCTCCGCCTCTCCACGAGCGCTCTCCTTTTTGTTCCTGAAGCTTCCACAGACGCCCAGTGTCGACGCTGCTTTTCGTGCTGAGGACGAGATTCTGAAGAACTGACTGGACAAAGAAGGCAACTCAAGGTCTGTGGGGAGTGTGGTGCATGATGGGGAGGAGTTTTAGAAACTGTCAAGGTTTAGGGCAGTTTCAGGTCAGGCTGGGCAATAGGCCGGAACCGATCCCCCAAAACAACCTTACTGGTTATTCTTCCCTTGTGAATTTACCAGGAACCTTGCTAGTTTCTGAAACTCCTCCACCTCACACATCAGTAACGATTATTCGTTATTAAACACAGTGAGAATCAGAAATGTATAGAGAATGCTGCGTTCCATTCTCACGACCAATAATATCTTACCTTATGATGACTATTTTATGTTTTTGGCTGTGTAAATTAAATCAGAAGAATTGAGAAACTTGCCCAAGGTACGTTATCTTTGTAGATATATTTGAATTTGAGTCCCATTATATAGTGCTGAGCCTCTGGAGAATATGGTTGTTATTTGCTTTCCGAGAGTATTAGTGCTTTAATCACCTTTTCAAAAGATTTCTGTGCTTTTCAAATTAATTTTATTTAATTACTTATGCAACTTTTTCACTGCAAAGAATGTAGGAAGATTAAGATTACTCTAACTGCGTGAAGTCAATTATGACTTCACCTACTATATGACTAAACCAGGAATCGTGAGAGTGTAAGGAGTTGAAATGAAAGAAAAATGGCTTTTGTTTGGAAACACCTTTTGCATCAGGGCCAGATTGCCTAGTTCTGCATTTCTCCTTTTGTGAGAAAAATAATGTTCCTAAATCTAATTTGCAAATGATATTTCATTACTCGTTATCCAATATTTTTAATTGATAACCCACACTTACATAAACAGATATATAATTTAATTTTTATACAATCTTTTCATTCCTATTAATTCTTTACAGAATAATGCATGTGAATATGTAATTTTATGATACTACATATTGATCCTCTTGTTGAATATTTCTCTCACTAGATCAAGTTTCAGGGGAAAGTACTTTGTCAGTTCCTTTTATTGATGAACATTCCATTTCAAAGTAGGTGTACAACAGAGCTGGATAGTCAATGAATTCTGCTGAGATTTTTCAGTGGAAATTTGCGTGATGTATTGGGTGAAAAAAGAAAGCTGCAGAACGAGACAAGCTGTCATTAGCCATAGGAACTAGGCTCTCTGGGTATTATTAGTGCCATTATTTCCTAGAATTACAAATTCTAGTTCCGTACAGTCCCGAAGTTGCTCCCCTCTATTATAGCTAGAGTATTTCCCTATTTTCGATATGGGATGAATCCTGAGACTTTAAAGATTTTGATTATTTTCCTAACAGACATGTACACTGTTTCCCCTTTTTATTTCATCTAAGAGGTAAGTTTATAAAGAAGAGACAAGTTAATCTAATTTTCATTTTTTCCCAGTTTCCCTTATAGTTTGATCTAAATAACTATGTCTATGTACTTTTGTAAGGTAAATAAATGTAAAACTAATGAAAAAGATTGATTTATTTTTCATTTCCATATCTAGGATTCCTTAGAGAAATTATTCATCAAAGCCTAAATACTCCTGAAAGATTCTTAAAGAAAAATTTGACTAAGAGAGCCACATGAAAAGATTACGGTGTAGGCTATATATACAAAATAATTAAATTATTTATTTTAGACTCTTTAGGAGAGATATTACATTTGTAGGTCTGATCAGAGAAAATTACCCTAAAATAGCTGCTTCAAAGCCTACCTTTTATTGAGTATTTCTGCCTCAAGTTTATAAAATAGAAATTACTTATAATAATCAGTTTTTAAACACAATAGACGAGGATTTTATATTGATATCCAGATAACTACAGCTGACTTGATTCAACTTTGAGTTTTTTCATTATACTATATTTCACTTAAATAATTCTAACAATTATATCTCTTACTCTTTTTCATTAAATTCTGTATGACAGTAGGTATACTGTAAATGGAACATTTTAGTTTATTGATTTTAGGAGTATATATTATCTGAATAGTATATTAAAAATTATTTATTAAAAAAGAATAAAAAAATTTGATCAGTCCTTCTAAGCAGTGACTAAATGTCTTACACTTGTAATAAGGAATAGTAAAGTCTATGCAATAATGAATTCAATGGTCGGCATTGAAACCGTGAGACTAGCCTAACTTGGCAAAAAATTAAGCATTTCAACATTATCTATAATCATAATGCCATAAAAAGTTCTAAAGTTCTGAGAAGATATACATTAATAGCTTAAATATCTTTTAATTGTAACTGTATGAATTTAAATTTTAATAATACAGTCTCATTAAGTGCAGCATTGAAGTTTCTCCTTGTTTAAGGATAGTGTTAAAGTCCCTTTTGCCCTTCAATTATTATAACTTAGATGATGCTTTATGAAAAGGGTTAATCTAATTTTAATTAAGTTTATTTAATTAAACTTCAACTCATTTTTAATAATTGAATGTATAATAGACATCAGAGTTGCAGGGAACCAAATCATTTTTGTGACATGTAGTTCTTAATTGGAAATGATATAGTGTTTCTAAAATGAATTATTGTTGGAAGAATGATATCAAATGCTGCAAGAAACATATTTAGATCAATATCCAGCAATACTTTTGCTTCTAAAGATCAAAATATGTGGTTCTTGAAAATTGCCTTTATTAAAATCTTTCAATAATTTAAATTACAAATGGATATAAGTAAAGAGAACTCCAAATGACTTTAACTACTTATCAATAAAAAAATAATGTAAGCTTAATGCTTTTAACTAAATAGAAATAGCTGAGTTAAGTAACTGAGAAATTTACTTTAAATCTTTTAATAATGTTAAATAAAATTTTCAACAAATATCTTTGAGTTCAGTTTCTAAATTTGCATGTAAGTCCAACTACCTTGAAAGTATTCACTTGTTTCATTGTAGTACTGTACAGTAAAGCCAAATTTGGCTATCTCCATAGCTACAGAATTGTTACTTTCATGTCTCTCCAAATGTGAGTATATTTTATTTCAGTTGGTATTGAGTATGTTGTAATAAACTGAATTTTTTGTTGTTGTTTTTGTTTTGTTTTTTGAGACAAGGTCTCACTATGTAGTTGAGACTGACCTGGAACTCACTATGAAGCTCAGGCTGGTCTTGAACTCATAGTGATCCTCCTGCCTCAGCCTCCTGAGTGCTGGGATTACAGGTGTGCACCACCACGCCAGGCTTAATAATCTGAATTTGAGTATCTGTCTGGTTACTTGATTCAGGTGTTCAATACCTAATATGCTGAGAATGTGGGTTTTTTGTTTGTTTGTTTTTTGGGGTGTTTTTGGTACTGGGGATGGAACTCCAGACCTTGTGCTTGTGAGGCAGGTAGCAGAACCACTGAGCTAAATCCCCAGTTTGAGAATGTGTTTTTAAACAGAAATCATGCTGACTTTCTTGATAGCCCTTTATCAAAAGGTAGATGAAGTGTCATTAATTGCTTCTCCTGAAAATAAGTGCATCATATTAACAATTCATTATGCTTTAGAAAACAAATTGCTATAATTCATCTGATAACCTTTTAACTAAATAAATTATAATAAAATTTATTAAATGTTACATTAGATTTTATAATACAGAATTTATCTTTATGAAATACATAAACACATACACATGCAGTATGCGAATTTGTACTAGTCCATTTCTTGTGATTCACAGAGCATTGTACTATACTAAAAAGCAGAAATACGAAGGCATTTCTGGGCTTAGAGAGTGACCGATTAAGAGCAACCTAGTTTCATGATATAATTCTGCCCTTGAAGGTCTGTGAGACTGTGATTGGTGACATCCTCAAAGAATTCTAGGACGTCCTTGAGGCTTTTTTCCATTTGCCCTGATTAAATTGACTGGTTTTCTTTTATGCATGTGAATTGTTTCAGCAAGTGGTTGTCTCTTGTGCCTTTATACTCTTTTCTTCACTCTTTCATTGGTAAAATGCTAATTTGCCAAATCTTTCTGCTTGGCTTCCTTTTGCTCCTCGGTCTTTCCATAAATCTAACTAAAGACAGCCAGTAATACCCATATCACAACCTGAGTGCATTGTTTTCAAGTGTTTTTTTTTCCACAGTGTCTTAGGACATGAACATAACCTGGCTTACAGTTAACAAGGATAAACTTCAGTTCAATTTCTAATAGAATCCTTATTTTCCCTGGATACTAATTTGCTAGTCTTATCATCTTCTAAGCCTTCACCATAAGTGCCTATAATTTCCTGCTTAGATCATCCTAGGCTTTTTCTTGCCTGCTTCTCCAGGTCTCTCTCAACCTTTGTCAGTTATGTAAATCATAAGACTCCAATATTTTCAGGTAATCATATGAGCAACAATCCAACTTAGCAGTACCAAATTTCTATATTAATTTTCTTTGCTCACATCACCATATTGTAGCAAGTGTGGATGTATACATGTGTATATCTGATTTCTCTTCTTAGAAAGCCACCAGCATTGAGTCATAGGAACTCTGTGCTGATGAACTTTTCTGACTCTAATCATTTTTCTGATGTCCTCTTCACACTTCAATATACATTCCTACAATATCCTTATTTCAAAAAGTACAATAATATTCTATTATTTGGCCATGAGACTCAACATGCTTTTACAATTGTCTTTGTGATCAGTAGTTTCCTGTCAGTCGCATGTGAAAACTATTTAAAAATAAGAATGTATCATGTACAAGTTGTACATGGTATTATTGAAATTGTATTTATGATTTACAAATCTGATTGATAAATAATAAAGTATTTAGAATTTTCAACTGTAAATAATTTTAGAGTATCAGTGTAATGCTAACATAATTTATTATAATATTTTATTCAACTTTAAGAAGTTATAAAATAATGTACTGCTATGTTAAAATAACTATTTTTGAGCCAGAAATTTACCTCAGTACTGCCACCACCTGCCTCGCAACACAAGACCCTGAGTTTGATCCCTGGTACCAAAAAGAAAATGAAACAAACAAACAAACAAAAAGCTATTCATATGCCCTTGAATTTCTTTAAATCTAGAAATTTACCTAAGAACATTACAGAAAT